CTCCAAAAATTATGATACCAACAACATAAACACGCAAAATCGCAAGATTGCAACTCTTTGTTGCAAAATAATATGATAAAATATGGATTATACACAAACAATCAAACACGACTCACAAAGTTGAACAAAAAGTAAACAGTTTTACGCTGGGAAAGAATAAAACCCAAAGATATGAGTGTTGCAGAACAAAAATCTGCCAAATTTGGTGCGTGCTATCAATAGATAGTAGTCGAGCACACCGTTTGAGATGAGAAGAGAAGCACAAAAACCCTCGATTCAACTATTCTGAAAGGTTTTGATGGGTCAGAAACTGCCATTTTCCTGCGCTGGAAATGTTGGACACGATTCAGATGTCGTCGCCATGGTTATGGTGATTCATTTGTTTCTCTCTGAAATAGGTCCAGAGTTTCGGTTGCACTAGGGTGAGGGACAATAAAAGGGCATAAATTAGGGCTTGGGCAAATTAAATGCTCAAATTTAATTAAACGAAATAAGAAGGAAGAAAATCGTGAAAAAGAGAAACAACGAGAAGATTTTGTTTGTGTGTGAGAGAGAGGGTAAGGGAGATAGAAAAAATTAAATATAATAAAAAAATACCACCCAATAATGAACTCTAGGGGAGAAAAAAATGAAAGACAATTGGTTAGTTTTTTTTTCATTATTATTATTTTTTTTTCCGAAACCATAGGGATAATATATATCAAAACGCACAACTGTGCAAGAAAGCAGCACAAAGCTGAATAATACAACCCGGAACTAAAAACTGGGAGGACGGATCGAACGACCGCCTAGAGCCTCGCTAGCCACACTAGAATAGAAACACACGCCACACAACTAAAAACAACATCAACACACTAACTAAAAACACTCCCCACAGGAGAATAGATACACCCCCCACGGGAGAATCAAAATCGGGGACAACGGCACAAACCTAAAAAACAAGACCAAAAATAACACATACACAGACTCAAACCAAAACACAATCCTACAACACAAGACAACAAAAAAGGAACTAAAAAAACACAAACACAAGCCCTTCCCCTGCGACTGAGAAAGCCCGAACCAGCAGTGAACGATCGATACAAGACCAATCCAAGCCAAGAATCTGCTACTGAAACTGCAATCAAGCCTATACCCGACACCGAACCAGTCCTCGAATTGACCCATCGACAACTTAGAAAGCCGAAGTCCACCCCACAACGATTCCAATCGATCTCTTCTAACACCACTAGACGAGGCCGATAGAACCTCCCCGCCACCTAACACCACTAGACTAACGGGGATTGAGCAGGAGAAAAACGACCCTCTCTCCGACCGCCACGACAAGGAACGTCGCGGTAACCAGAGCCTCTCCCCAACCCCAGACACGCACTCCACCAGTCACCACCACGGATATCCCACGACAAGCGGCCCGACCCCGACAGAAAGCACCACCAGAACCAGCCAAATCCAACATCAACAGCAACATACAAAGGATAGAGAGCAGGGCATACCGTCACCAATCTCGACACTGCGGAGACTGAAATAATCCAATTGGTTAGTTTAATATAATAATATACTATTGCATTAATTTAAAAAATATTTTAGAAAAGATAAAGGATGTCCTTATTTCACAATTATCATTCCCCTATTTTATTCTACATCCTTAGATCTTTGAATACAATAACAACCATCGGGTTTACGTAGTCACTGCCACCACGTGGGTGTGGACTGTGAATCATATAATTATTGACTGATTTACTGGGTGATACAGCATCCAGAATAACTCTACAAAGTGGCCAGAGTGGTTAGCTCGGTCGTGGACGATTCAGGAGAGCTCAATCTGCTACTACTATTTACACCTGTCAAGGAGCCCCACGTAGAAGGCTCAAGGTCTAGCGTAACAACGTTGAGGCTCGGAAGGTCGAGAGACCTGAAGAGCTAGGACGCATGAGAGACCTCATGATTAGGTCGGTGGGGTTAAGGTCGTGATTATGACCTGGATAAGACTTGTGGCATATAGGTGTGAAGGTCGGGCTTATGACCTCGAGACCTAGGGGTTGTGCAACAAAAGGGAAGAATCTGTCATGGATGGGAAGTGTGTATATCAGTAAAGGCTCATGTGTTGATAAGATCTTTCTAATTAGAAAAGTGGCTATAAGAGCATATCTTTCCTAATTGGAACTTTCTTGATCACGCAAAGACTCATAAATTCATTGTCGGTCCAACAAGGTTCAACCACATATTCAATCACTGGTCCGACTAATAAATCATTGAACAGCTTGAATGATTCAGTTATCACAACTTTGCTTTCTAACGAGTAATGCTTTCTAACATTAAAATGTGTTTGCCTTTTATAAATTTT